CAAAGATGGTGATCGCAATGGGTTTCTAAACATTCAGAAAGTCAGCAGATGATGGAAGTATCTTAGAAGGCTATATATAGAATTTTACAATATCTCAAGAAAAGCTGAGTAGAGGGCTTTACTTCAAGAAAACTCAAGTACGGAAGTTGAGGTATTTACTGATGCAGATTGGACAAGATCGCTAACTGATCGAAGATCAACTACCGGTCCTATGTATGGGGGAACATAGTAACTTGGAGAAGTACATAACAATCGATAATCGCAAGAAGTAGTCCATAAGCATAATTCAGAGCAATGGCTCATAAAATATGTGAAGGAATATGACTCTAAAAAATATTTAAAAAATTTAGAATTACATTAAATCTCACTATGACAGTTTGTGTAATAATAAGACTGTCATAAATATTGCAAAGAATCCTATTCAGCACGACCGAACTAAGCACGTGGAGAGCAACTTCATCAAAGAGAAGATTGAAGAAAGAATAGTCAAACTCATGTATACTTTATCTAGCCGCTAAACAGCACATATTTTGACAAAGACACTTCCAAATGCAAGTTACGAAAATATGAAGAGTAAGTTGGGAATGTTAGACATCTACCACCCAACTTGAGGAAGGGTGTAAAAATATGAGATTACGATTAAATGTCAAAATTAGTGGGATCCAGCTAGAATCCCTTTCTGATTTTAAAGAAAATAGAATATCTCTTAATTAGTTGTTGTTTTCTTCTTTAGTACCTAGAGATATTAATTGCATAATATGCGACTACAATTTAAGAATTCAACTTGTATATATACTCTCATTCTGTATCTAGACTTCAAGAAATAAATAATATTTCCGCAGGTAGTAACAACGGCGATGGTAATGATAGTAGAGTGAGAACAAGAAGGATGGTGACGAATATGGTGATAATGATGACAGTAGCAACAATGGTCGTGGTAAGAGATAGTAGTGAGCACAACAATGATGACAGCGATGACGGAGATGATAAGTACAGTGGTGAGGGTGACAACGGTGGCAGTAACTAAGGGATTTTAGCAATAGGAGTGACCATGACGAGAGTCGAAATGACAACTATAACGATGATTATCGCAGCAATGCTAGTGGTGATGGAGTGATAGTGACAACAACAGTGAGTATGATGATGGTGGTGGGAGTGTTAGGACGATAGTGGTGGGAGTGTTAGGGCGGTGGTAAGAGTGTTAGGGCGATGGTGGCAATGACAGTGGTATTGATGGTAGTGATAGTGCCAATGTCAACTACGAAAATGGTAACATCGGCATAATGGTGATAACAACAAGTGGTGGCAATCCTCATGATACCAACAATAACATTGATAATGATAGTAGTAGCCATAGTAACGATAGCAATAGTTTTTCATACCCACTTAAGCTTCTTATTTGTTTCTTTTTTCCTATGCTTTTCAAAATATATCAAAATAGAACAGATGTTCAATTGCAGAATTTTGTTCTGACCTTCTCACCAAAATACCTCACTCAATGTGCTTGGAAAAACAAGACTTAACCACCATTTTATTTTTTCAAAATTTAACATTGTTATTAAAAATATATTTTAAAATAATTTTTTAAATTTAATGACTAAAATGTAATAAAAATAAATTTATAAAATTAAATAATAATATAAGTCATTAATGAGGAATTAGAATGATAAGTAGCTAAAAATAAGGTAGTCAACAAAAATGGAGGTAGGAGAGCGCCACATCTCAGCACCCACACATAACCCTGTCAGTAGAACTCTCTCAATACCATGGACCAACACCCCCAAGTAAGGATGGCAACAGGGCGGGTATAGGATAGCTTTTACCAAGCCTGAACATAATCACCCTTATGCAGTGCAAACTCAAACTCGCAACGAACCTAGTGCAAGTTTGAATTTTTTTTTAATGATGTTGGATTTACAATTGTCCGACCCGAACCGGTCCAATCATTTTATTATATTAATGTAAATAAAATTATATTTATATTAATAAAAAATTAAAAATATATTAATTAAGATATAATAATATATAGTAATTATATTTATCAATATAAATATAATTATATTTATTAATATAAAAATTATATTTATTACTACAAGTACAAATATATTTATAATAATAAAAAATCAAAAAATATATATATAGCAGGTCGAGTTCAAACAGATTTTGGATGATCAAACTCAAACTTGCCCTAAACTGCCCCCTCTTTTCTGCCAGCGTGAACCTAACTTAACCAGAACCCGAACTTTAACATAAAAAAAACTATATTTGATCAGGTTCAAACAAATTGGATTAAGTGGGTTCAAGTGTAAAATATCATCCCTATCCTCAAGACATCCACCACAAGCATGAGTAAGAAATAGGAAAGATTATCGTTCTATCCAAACCCTCTTTACCCATGAAACCAAAACATAGCTTGTTGTTAACCAAAATAATGGAATTACTAAAAACAATTGAGGTCTTCAACTATAAGTATAAAAAATAAAATTCTTTGGCTTATTAACCTCAAGAACCAAAATATCTATGCAACAATCTTCCCTTTTATTTTCCACTGGTTACAAAGTCATGCTTCTTTAGCAATGTACTTTGCTTTTTCAAGAAGTTTCAAAATTAGAAATTTAGGATCTACAATATTCTCTATAAGTATAGAGAATCAAATTCTTTGGCTTATTAACCTCAAGAACCAAAATATCTATGCAACAATCTTCACTTTTATTTTCCGCTGGTTACAAAGGCATGCTTCTTTGGCAATGTACTTTGCTTTTTCAAGGAGTTTCAAAATTAGAAATTCAGGATCTACAATATTCTCTATAGTGGAAGAAGCACCTTATTTTTTTCTAATTTTCTTGCTTTCTACTCTTCTAATTTATGTTAAACCTATTAGATACATTAAATGCCAAAAAAAAGCAATCTAAAATACTTATATATATGCTATTTGCTCTTACCTAAAGGACACAAACACCAAAAACTAGGTCTGCCTACTTTTTTCCAAGAAGATGAAATTTGTAACTGAAAGGCACCAAAGGGATGTCATCAATGTATAAGAAATGACATCTAAAAGTTTGACAAATATCAACAAGAGCTGTTAATCCCCCTCAAAAGCAAAAGGATAACCTTTGAACAAAAACACGTACAGGTTAGAAAAAAGAAAACAGAGAAAGAGAAAAGGAGGACCAACTAAAGTTCTGATAGAATAGCAAAAAAATTTATATGCAAATTAAATAAGAAAAATCTTTAAGCTGATCATATGAAAATTTAACCCAAAGAGATGGAAAGAAAGCCAGCATCTCCCAAAGAATCAAAGATCAGCTTATCCCAAAGAATCAAATAATCAAAGAATCAAAGAGGAGAAGAGAGGGGATGTTATAGGCTGATCTTTATTATACCATAGGGTAAAGGAGTTTGGAACATTAAGGTTGACCTTTACTTCTTTGGTCATCCCAGAAAAAAGCCATAATGTAAAAAAGGGTAAGAAAGAAGAATACATGCTAAAAATAATTTTTAGTGGCTCTAATACGTTCGAAACATTAAACTTTGGATCCCATCAATTTCGATCAAAATGAACTTATTCTTGATTATCCTGTGTCAGAAAGAGCATGACCACAAAGGAAATCATCGCTGGTTAAATTTCGGTCCTGACAAAAACTTGAACCAGTCTGCACTGAATGGCCCGGACTGAATAAAACTACATAATGGTTAGTCCAATTCTCAGTTCAGACACCAAAAATACCAAAAAGATCAGTCCATTTTGATCTAATTCCAGTTCAAACGAAAATAGACTGCAGACCAAAATACAAAAAAATAAAAAAATCACTTCTATTGTGAATTTATTTTTTATTAGTATTCACTAATAGTTTAATTAAAAAATCGATCCATTTTAGTATAGTATTCTGTCTTAACTCCCATCCCTAGTTGGTCCTCAGTCCATTCTAGTCCAATCTGCTTTTGGACCAATGGCCATCCCTAATCATAACCATTTAGCCAAAAGATAAATTTTTAATAGAAGTTCCTGATATCAAGCCTCCCAGTAGTTTTGGGTAGACAATACATCTCTCAACCAACAAAATAATCTTTCGAGCACTTGTTCAACTGCAACCAAAGGTTTCATCACCTATTAAATTATCTGAACTATATATCTAGGAATTTTATATCAAAAAAGATATTATGCTAGGTAAAAGCACCTTTCCAGCAATCCAGATGATTAGAGACTCTGCTTGCAACAGGATCTCAAAAGAAGGCAACCCGAGGATTATCCCTGGTAAAGATGGGCATGGAACAAGTATGGGGTGGATATCTCAATTCCTATATCCGCCGTAGTAAAAAAATGAAATTTATACTTGCCTCACACTCGGAATAGTTAGAAAGTTTTTTACCCATCAACTGCCCCATGGATAAAACTTTATAGCGATCATCTACCATAATTATTTATACAAACAACTCGTTTCTTTATCCATCTACCCTACAGCTAAAAACCTGCCCAATTTAACATTTTTATCATAAAA